AAGCAGCAGGAAGACTACGTTCATACATGATTATAAGAATAGATAGAAGAATTGTAGGAAGGAACAGAAGAGACATGCTTAAAGAAACTCATCAGAAAGATTTTACAATGCAAAGCAACTATGAAAATGAAAGTCATGAGGATGAAGTTATGGATGAACTCCGAGATGCATGAGAACAGTAGGAGCACTTCAAATTTAGGGCATAACTACGTTACTCGATCTGGTAGGACTGTTAAAAAAACCTCATTATTTAAAAGAATATGTATGTTTGCACATTTTTTAATTATTTTAACTTTAAATTTGCTTTTTTTACGTATATACATGTTTGTTAAAATTTAAATTTGTCATAATTTTTCTATATATTTTTATTATTATTATTTCTGTTAAGAAAGGGAGATGTTATATATGTAACTGTATTTATTATTATTATTAACCATATCTGTGATATAGAATATTGGATTAGCAATGTAGAATAAACGATGTTTTTGTAGATCTCGTAATCATCATTTAGCACTTATCCCACATTAAAAATGATACGCTGAGGATATACACTGTTTTTAGGAAATTTAAATGCAGGAGCTTATAAATTTAAAATCCAAATGACATAAATGCTGCAAACATTCAACCGGAAATATCTAGTTTTCAGAACACGCTATTTTAAATAATTCCATGTACGCAAATGTAAATCATGAGTCATTTTCCTGAATACTGAATGCAATGATTAAATATTATTATAAGGACTATAGTACTATAATTTGAAATATTATCTTTCAAAAATACTTCAAAAATGTTCTTATAATTTTTCTAATTTTTATGTGTCCTTCGAATATACTCAATAGATGTCGCCATATACCGGCTTTTATGTAAATGTGCTGTACGTGTAAATAAACTGCGAAAATACAGATGCCGAAAATAAGAAGACTCATGTTTAAGAATTTTTGAAGATGTAAAAACACTTTGTGTAAATCAATATTAAATAAAAGCCAAACTTTGCTTCTATATGAAAAGTAAACTGGCAAGTTTCTAAGTGGAATTACTTATTAACCGCGATTATTAAATAAACTGTGTGTTTTTCCGTTAAGAAACAACTGCACGCTACAACTTTTCAAATTTTTTACTTCATTTAATGTCACATTAAGATACGCTACCAGGTTTCCATCCACTGAGCAAATACTCATTTCCGAATACATTACCAAGGTATTGAGCCAACAGTATTAAAATAAAGAACTACTCTTATATGCGCCCTCAGGTCGCCAAATGCGGCGACAAATTTCTCGCCAAACATTTTTTGGGAGAAATTTCACTCCGCCATATTACTACCTAAATTTTTTTGTCTACATTTCGAACTTTTAGCCTAAAATGTCTGCAAAAACGCGATTTTCGCATGTGCAAAAACCACGTTTTGAACACACAATTTAAGCTAAAAATCCGAAACAAAAACAAAAAATTTAGATAGAAAAAACGTAAAGTTTCTAACCAAAAATATTCGACAAGAATCCATGTACACAAAGATATGTTTTAGCTTAAAAAAAAAAAAAAAATCACAGAATTGCACAATCTATGCACCGAAGGAATCTACGAACTACGCATACCTAGCTTAAATAAATTAACATAACATCAATAAATTTCAAAGAATACCATATACACAGCTTTCTGTTTAAACTTAAAAAAAAAAAAAACTACGATTTGCACAATCTAGACATTGCGCGCTAATCAACAAAATAAACTAAAATAAATTTTAAACAATTAAAAAAAAACAATAACGACAGAAATTCATACTTAAAAAACAATGAACATAACATTCTACTAAATAAGGACAAGAATAAAACAAAATGCATTTACCATAAATAAATGCTTCTTCGAACAGCAGAAATACCGATTTCAAACATCACCAAAACAATTTCACCCCAAATTTGTTAAAAGCATCTTCTCCCTTTTCAGAACAACGATGAAAAATATATAAACTACCAAATAAAACTCCAAATCGCATTTCTGATTATAAGTCTGCTACGTCGCTTAACACGCCGCAACGTAATCTCTGTCGTATTTTATATGACAGCCAGACTCACTATCCACAAAATTGATACTTTGTTTCACAAATAAATGTTAAAAACCTTCTTCTCCGAAATACTTGTATAATTTCTAGCCACCCGAAAAAACAGTTGTACCAGGCACGCGACTAAAATTTTGCCAAAACGTCATAAATCACTTACTACCACACGAACCAACTAGCAAATCCAAGTTTCCACGTAAAAAGGGTTGCCACAGAAACCAACATCGCCCCCAAAACCATCGCAGAACAGAACACGGGATCGTGCCAAAAACAGCGCACAACACATATCGCCGCATTTGGCAACCTTATGGCGCATATAAGAGTAGAGCCTAAAATAATTACAAAATATATTTTGTATATGCACAGATTTTGAAAGCAAACGTCTCTTTCGCCAATCTAAGCGATTACTGATTCCTGTTTGGCTTTCAAGTATGTTTACCAACTGAGTATGGTAATCCGTTTCCTTGGAAACGCAGTTTCGAGAAATGTTTCTTTCGACGTTGTGTTCCGGCAACAAATAGTGTATGTGATAGCGTCTTTATGCGATACCATGTAACATGGGTTATCTAACTTTTGCTTTGGATGAATTTCATGTCTTGCGTTTGGAATAACAAGAATTTCAGTTATATGAGGTTTTTAACTTGGTAACACATCAGAGATTGCAGAAATTCTATCATCAAACAGAATTTGCTGAAAAAGCTTTATATACTAAGTTGGTGTTGGTTTTGGATACACTGTTGTGAAATGGTTTTAGATATTGTTGCGTGCGTACGGGTTCGTTACGAAATGAATGCACAAGTCCGATGAAAAATGAACAAAAATTTATTATTATCACAACAAAAATGCTTAAATCATCTCAAATTATCATGCAGTATTACAATATCTCACAGTAGTTATCTTTTAACTACTCAAATGTCCAATAGAACGTAATTCAAAACAGCTAAAGAAAGCTAATCCGCGAATTCTCTACAATCAACAAGAGCAGTTTTCTAAACAACAAAAAACTAAGCAACTACCACGAACTTTCCAAGTTCCAAGTACCGCTGGATGCGCCACTGATTAACTTGCAGGATTTGCAAGTTTTGTTCCGGCTGTCTGAGTTAGTTGCTATAGAGCGCTGAAAGTAGGAGAATACATGAGTGAGACCTAAGTCAGGATTGCAGATGTTGAGAGGGCGTGACTACCTTGTCACGTGAGGTGTGAAGAAGTCGTTAATACGTTGCGAGATTTCAGGTTAGAAATGCTGAAGAAAACCTTAAATGTACAAATTTGCAGAAAATAATTACATAAAAGGGAAATTTTTTTCTAGTAATCATCAGAGTAACAACATATGGAAATAAACCATTTTCATCACATAATACAGTCTAGCAGTCCTGTAAGTTGAAATTCTGAGTCCATGATAACGTGATGGGGGTGGTGTAAACAGAATCATGGTTTCATTATAACAGTCGAAGATGTTTCAGAAAAGGAATAATTTTAGTAAGAGTTACAAGATAACAAAATAAATGCAGAACATATGTTAACACAAAATACATATATTACAAATTCAAAATGTCTATTTCAGAGTATACTTAGAATAAGTCACATATCACGTGAGCGGAATCAGGCATTCTGATTCGCTTAGCGTAAACTTGTCCAAAACTGATGAAAAGAGTAAAATAATTAAATAATGGGTTGCAATAGCGAAAAATCACTATTTTTCTCATGTTCTTCAATATGATAAATATAAGGAATACCAGAAATTTCAGTCCTAAAAATACCACGAACTGAGATGTTTCCTCCTTTTATAAGATTTTAAAATCACGCGCTAGAATTTGCTAGTACTTTCTCGAAATCAAAAAGAGATATTTATTTATTTCATGCACGCGCTCTTGTATTTTCAATTTTCCGGCTTAGCTTTCTTTTAATATTCGTCACGCGCTGCACTGCGCGAGAAATAAAACCATTTAATTTATAATTGAACTAACATTAGCTTTTTAAATACCAAATTCGTAACAATATATTATTGAGAATTGACTTCAGAATAGAATTTAATTTTCACGAAGTACACTGCAGTCAATTAAATGACCTTTTCAACTAATGGATTTTGCATGTTCTGAAAATCTATTTCCCGCAGCCGTTTGATGTATTGAAGAGCTAAGAGTTAGCTGTTGTTCTTTGTTGGTACCAATCTCACTTATCTGACAATGGTTAGCATAGCCTCCGACATTCATCATGGAAAGGATGCCCGTGTCAGTGTCAAAAGCCTTGAGAACCATACAGGTGGCAGTTCCGCCCCTAATTTTGAGAGACAGCACCCCAGAAGGACGGGTCTGCGGGTCTCCCATCTTCTTCCCCAACCACTAACCTATGAAAAGGACTTTCGGATCACCGCATATTTAGAGTCTTTTCACGCCGCACAGACATCCATGCCATAAACACCCATGCCGTCTTCGGGATATGAAGGCAGACGCTTCGGCACGACAGTCAGAGTCACTAATCACTGTCCCAGTTGGGCGGCAAGAATTAGATTTCAATAATAAAATATTTATATTTTTAAAACCTATTTTAAAGATGCTTAGAATTATTCATTTTTGATTTTAATTATTACCTAGAAATAAAACGTTTCATTTTTTAAAGAAATTTAACTTTTTGTTCCTTTCATGAATTCTTGTTTTTATTTGCTGAAAGTGAAGAAGGAGTATCTCTGTTTCCATCGTATAAATTGAACCATTTTAAAATACATAAAATTAAATTTTTTTCTGCATTTGTACAAACATTCACAGAATTTCTCGAAAGACGAGAAATTTCAAGAAAATCCTACCGGAGAAAAATCGCAGATTTGAGAATTCCTGCTCAAAATAAACAATGTTTTAGGATAGTGAGCAAAAATGGGTATATTGGAACGCGACAGTGCATTGTACAACCTTTTTTTAACGGAACACTGCTCATTGTTCGCTCATTTACAATGTTGCCAAAATTGCTACTACAAGAATGTTGGAAACAAGAAATAGCATGGGACGCAAAATTACCTGAAGCTATCACGAAGAAATTTTTAAACTGGCAAAATCAAATAACACATCTGAAAAATATCTTTATTCCTAGATGGATGACGAAGAGAACTTCTCCGGAGAAGCAGTGTAGTTTACACGTGTTTGCTGATGCCAGCAAGAATGCTTATGCAGCTTGTGATTTTATCCGAATAGAAACCGAAGAGTCCGTGTCTTGCGAATTGGTTAGAGCTAAAAATAGGATAACTCCGCTAAAGGCAATCACAATTCCCAGACTGGAACTCCTAGCATGTTTGATTGCTGCTAACGTGAAGACAGATTTAAAAAGACCAGATCTTGAAACACATTACTGGACGGATTCTAGCAGTGCCTTAAGTTGGATCAAACGAGATGAGCATTGGACAACTTTTGTTTCCAATACGACACAGGAAATAAGAGATCTGTCTCCCCTTGATGACTGGCATCATGTTCAGGGAAATCTGAATCCAGCAGATATTTCGTCTAGAGGAAGTTCTGTTAGATACCCTATTGAAGCAAAATAGTTACAAGGGCCAGAATGGTTAAAATCTCCAGCAGAGGAATGGCTCAAATTTGAAATCGTAGCTGATGAAGAAAGTTTAAATCAAGAGAGAAGGAAGACGGCCGTGATCAATCCTAAAAAGGAGATACCCTGGTACTACAATAGGTTTTCTTCCTACTCAAAGACAGTTAGAACGTTTGCCTGGATGAAACGTTTCATAGCAACTGCCGAGAAGCCTAAGGTAGAACGGTTCTATCAAGAATTGACTGTCGAAGAAATAGAACAAGCTAAACTGATATTACTAAAAAGCAAAAAGCAGGAAGGTTTTGGCTAAATAACTAATCTGGTTTTCAAATATCCATATCCTCAACTTGATGAAGATTGTTTAATCCGTGTTACTAAACGTCTCATACAACGAGATGACACTAACAGTTTCAAACGGGCAATAATATTGCCCAGCAAACATCCAGTTGTTCATTTGCTTATCTTAGAACATCATAGAAGATTGAAGCGTGCTGGTGTACAAACGTTAATGGCTGAACTGAGAGAAAACTACTGGATATTAAGATGTAGAAAAACTGTTCGTGAAGTTTTGAAATATTACAAGAATTGTAGAAGATTTGAAGTTTCCAATGTTGAAGTTATGCCTGCTCCTTTGCCAGAAAATCGTGTAAAGAATGCAGTTCCATTTGAAATAACAGGACTTGATTTAGGATGGCCACTATACTTAAGAAATGGAGATAAAAAGCATGGTTCGTCCTCTTCACATGCGCTGTGATTCGAGCAGTGCACATAGAGTTAGTACAATCACTGAGCACAGAAACCTTTTGTTTAGCATTTCGAAGACTTGTATCGGAAAGAGGAAGACTCTTGTATGTTTATTCTGATAACGGTACAAATATTGTAGGAACTAATAATATTTTACATCAAATAGAATGGCAAAAGATACAGGAGTTGGCTTCAGTTAAGCTGATTCAGTGGATTTTCATCCCTTCTGCCCCCGCCTAGTGGGGCGGATGGTGGGAGCGACTAATTGGAATGACTAAAAGAATCTTAAGAAGACATCTGGGACGAGCTCGACTACATTATGATGAACTGGCTACTATTTTATGTGAAACAGAATACATAATGAATAGCCGTCTCTTGACTTATCTGTCAGATGATGTTGAAGACTTACAACCATTAACCCCACCTTTATTTTTACAAGAAATACGTACTGGATCTCTCCCTCAATTAGATGTTTTAGATTCGAGTCATTTAATAAAACATTTTCGTAATCGTCAGAAACTTAAACAAGACCTGATGAAAAGATTTCTGATAGAATACCTGGGTCATTTGAAATCTTACTCAAAGTGCAAACACCCAACAACCCTTAGAATAGGTCAAGTTGTTCTCATTGGAAGTGACAACAGCAAACGAATAAACTGGCCTATGGGCAGAATACTTATTAAACTTTATCCCGGACAAGACCAAAATACTCGTGTTGCCCGCATAAAAACTATGAATGACGAAAAACTATTAAGACCCTACCAAAGAATTTATCCTCTTGAAGCTGAAAACAGTCCAGAATGTTCCGTGGTAAAATCTAGATATGGACGTGTAGTAAAACCAACTCAGAGACTGACTTTGTAACTTATCTGATTGAGACTTTGGTTGCATTCCTACACCAGATTGCAAGATGGGAGGAAATGTTGCAACCCCCACAGTATAGAATGGAGTATTTCCAATTTAAACTCCGGGCATCTGCGCATGCCCAGGAACTTAGATGACTGTAACTTCTTTTCGATTTATTGCTATGTTTGTTTTTCCGTTAAGTGTCTCCTGTATTAAGTCTGGGTGTGTGTTAAAATGATTAATAAATGATGTGTGTAAATTTTTAGTAGCTTTTTGGATTTAAAAAATCATCCTTCCCAGCGCCAACATCTATTTACGAAACAAGGTAAGAAGAATAAGAATTAAGATTATTCCATTTGTTTCAACTGTTTAATTAGAATTTATATTGCTCGTGAAAACTAATGATGTGGAGGCAAAAAAATGCATACTTTGTGGTGCTGTCTTTTGAAACACAAGTCTGAAGCCATCTTAATTGCTGGAAGATTTCCACAACCGGGGCGGTGCTGCTGCAGACCATGATGTGAAATCATTGAAAACTTAAAAAAAAAAAAAAAGAAAAAAAAGAAAGTCCGATTTTATTCTCAAGCAATTCTTTTAAAATTTAGGGGTCCCAGGTTCGAATCCCGAGAACGGGCTGCATGGGCCTTTTCGTGGTTTTTCCCAATGTGTAACGTGTATAAAAGAAAGTTTGCCTTAGAAAGTCCTCCACGAAGGTAACCCTCCCCTTAAGCAGATAGTCCTAATGTGTTTTACCATAATTAAATAAACTAAACCAAACCAAAATTTAGGGGCTGGGAGATGTGTAAATGTTTGGGAACCCATTGAAAGTTTGGGAGTTTAATGTGAACAAAGAACACTAGAAACAGTGTTTCACAGGTACAGGTACCGGGAAACAGTCACACACTGGTCTTCGTAAACAAAAATAGTTTTCAAAATAGAACGTGCTCTAACCAACGAGAAATGTTACATGAAATCGCTGGCTCTAACGCCCTAACCCCTGAGTGCACATTTAAGATTGAGACAAAATAATTTCCGGCAAGTGCTGCCATCTAGTGTATACAATTAAAATAATTCGACAGAGCTATATACTTGAACGATAAAGTCCAAAATACGTTAAATGGATGAACTACAAATATTTCTGATGGATACCAATAAGATATTCTCGCACTGAAGTATCAATCTCTTTCAATCTGAGTTTTTATAAGCAGCGGGGAGATGAGTTTAATAAATGGCAGTTTTTCTAATCATTAGTATGTGTTTGTTTTGGTTCCTGAAAATCGGAATGTAATGAGCGGCTCAGTTTTATAACCGTTAAATTTAATAACAGCGGAAAATGTATTACATTACTTTTAGTGGCATAATTTTAGACAAAAGATTTAAATGAAATGTTTTTAGTTCATATTATAAATTTATACTTGGCTGCAAAATTTTAGCAAATATTTATGCATTTAAACAACAGTAATCTTAATTTCCATCACCCTTTTCCCCAATTTCATGGTATGGTATATTAATTTAACAGTTTAAAAATAATAACTAAAATAAAAAAATTAGAATTCTTTAATTGTATTTATTTACAGTACTATAATTGTATGTATATTTTAATTGTATTTTGGCACACAATTTCCCCCTTGTGGGATTTAAATAAAAATATAATGTTTAGCGAAAAATTTTGATAATTATTTTACACAAAAATTATTAAAAAAATAATGTTCTGTTAAAAATATCGTGCATATAGATTCTGAAAAGAAGGAAAAAAAAAAGACAAAGAAATTGACATGTATTGAGGAAAAGTCTAAATCAAAAGGCTCGTGTCAGAAGAAAATATTTCTTCGTAAAGATGAAAATTTCATGTTAAATACTTTATATATGCTGTAAATAATTAATCAATTGATAATTGCTTATTTGTTGGTCTTATAAAAAATAGAGCGAGCAATGAATTACACTTAAAAACTTATACGAAAATTATTGTATAATCAAAGTTTTTCTTCGAATTTGAATGCATAAGGTTAGCCACTATATTATATTATCAACAAAATAATTCATTTGAGTATTGCATACTTAAATTATCTTATTTCTATAATAATAATAATAAATAATAATATAGCTTTTTTTTAAAAATAGTTTCTTAAATCAAAAAGGTAATTTTGCCGATGAGCGATAAAGCCTTTTGGTACTACCACATCCTATTGCACAACGTTGCGCACCAACGATAACCATAACAACCGTTGTTAGAACAGAAACGAGAAACGTTGTGCAATGTTTCCTTTATATAATATCGCCGTGAAGGGTTGTCTTTAGATTCGACTTTGCGACTTGAAGCTTGATGTAACTGTCGAAATCTATGGTAATTCATATTCTCTCTTTCCATTTTTTTTTTAATCGCCAAAAAGAACAAAGAGTCAGTTCTAACTGTATGTCTGAAAAATTTGATAGTAGGGCATCATTTTCTGTTAAAAAGTATTCTAATTTTTGGGTGATTTTTTTGGTACAGTAATCTCTCTTTTTGGCTGTTGTGAAGAAAATTGTTTATATTTACAATTATGTTATTATTTATGTTTGTTATGAATATAATTGCGATAACTTGGTAAAAATTTTTTAATGCTGTTTGGTTTGCATTAATAACAACTATAATCAATATTGCAATAAAACTTTGTACCAACTTATACAATTGAATGTACACATTGTCATGATTCAGTGTACAAATTATCATGACATTAAAAAAATGTGATGAACTCTCCTTTTTGTAAGAGTGGTGAAATTATTTAATTTTTGTAGAAGTGGCATGTTGTTAATGTTAATTTTACTACAAATGCAGCGAATAAAATAAAAGCTGGATTCGCTAAATAGTCTTGAGATTAATATTTTGGTTTTTTCATTTCTTTTTTATTCCCCTTTTTCTTTGCTTCCGGTTCTATTTTCTTTTATTTTATTGTTTGACTACAGCCTTTAACTTGCATATGTTACAAAAACGAGGTAACTTTAAAAAAGGAATTACCAATTTTAAATTATTTAATTAAAAATACTAAGAAGAAGTAAATTTTTAGTAAATATGTACTAACAAAAAGTACATTTTTATTAAATATTTACAAAGAAAATATAGTTTGTTGTCGAAAAATTTACACTGTAATAAAATATTTATTAGGTCATAAATTCTAATTTGCTAGCTGTCACAGAATGTAAATTGAAATAACACAAAACTATTAACACAGAGCTGGATTTTATTTAATCTCTTTTGAGCACTGACTCTTTGGAAAATTCTTCTTTATTGATAATCATTGATATATTGATAATAAATCATGTTGTGGAACTATTTTCTAAAATAAACTGAAAAAAGGTAGATTATGAAATATATGTAATATTGAAATCCATTTTAATTCAAAGCCTGAAATGCGACCAGTTCATCAAAGG